AGACACTGGCCGTCATGCTAACACAAGTGAAGCATTCCAAATTATTTATCAGGTTCCCCGAGCCGATCTAAGTATGTTTGTATTTTTTGTTCATTTTATTTCCTTTTATTGAATACAAAAAGACAAACAATTTTCAGGAAGGGGGAAGCGGCCAGTCAAAGGGCTGACATACAACATATGAATGGGGAAAGTCAGGCGGCGGTGGTGGTGGGATTCGAACACGCATCCCCAGGGNACATTGGTCATAGTCGAAGCCATATGTATTAAACACTTGCCCCCTTGAACCATGTGCCCATAAGCGACTAATCCAAACTCTTCATCTCGCCTGGGTTCATGAATCCACCTCTACCCACACGCATACATTTTCAATCAATAACACCGATCCCTCAGACCTGGGTGACACAATCAACGTGACAAGTGAAAACCCCGGAAGTACAGATTTGAGAATGCGGTGTGCAATACACACACACACACACAGAAACCGATTCCTCACATTCTAATGTTATCCTCTTAACTCCTAGGTTTTATCCTCTAGCATAAAGTGTAAAGGTATGATTACGAGCTATTGAAACAATTGTTTGCCTGAATTGGTGTTCTAAATTAGAGTATGGGCATGAAATTAGAAATATGCAATTGCTTATAGCGGCCTCATTCAAAGTTGCGTTAACTACAAGCTGTCTGAGCTGTCTGATGCAATGAACCTTCCATATTTTCCTGTTCTCAATTTTCACTAGACCTGTGAAGGTGAAGCTGTGGAGGATGTTATGTGCCAGGGCTTACCTCCATGCCCCGTATCCGGCGGTTGGTCTCCTTGGTCTGCTTGGTCCGATTGTTCGGCCAGTTGTGGTACTGGCGGAACACAAAGTCGTCATAGACTCTGCGATAATCCACCTCCAACAAACGGTGGTCGTCCATGTGCCGGAAAGGAGTTGATGGTAAGTGAACTGGTAGTATCGATTATAGCGCGTGTTTGCGTCCCCATCGAACGGTTGACCGAAATGTGGACTTACTATTTTCCAGTTAAACGTCTTTCAAAGCTAGCAAAGAAGAGAATGCTTGATAGCCAACAGAGTCGTTTTTAGCGCAGAAAGTTATTTCGAGATTTTTAAACCTCCAACGTATCTTAGGCTAGATAATTTTCTGATAATAATATTATGGATTGCATGGTGTGAACCCTATGAAACTTAATAGCAAAATCTGTTTTTGAGGGATTTATAATCAATATTTTTACAATGAGGCTGAGCAAAATTTCCTGGGAAGTTACCCACTGTTGACAAACAAGAGTCCTGAAATCGTTTGTTCCCAGGAAATTTTGTTCCACCCACACCATACTGCTTATGATTATGTAATTTATATCCGTTCAACAGATTAGAGAGCAATTTTATAGGCTGTCGAGTTCAGTAACACGGGAAACATTAAGCATCGTCTGTCCAAGCTTTGTCTGATGTTTTATGCTATTCCATTCGACCCCTTCCAGGCCACCGCTAGAGCAATATAACTTAAAAAAGTACATTATGGTTCTCGAATATAGCCTAGGTTTTTCAGATGCATAAACGAGTAATAAATTAATAATTTAGATTCTTTAATCCAAATAACCACTATACCTTCAAACCTGTTAATCCAAAAGTACTCTTAGATTGAAGCTATGAACGTGAAAATATTCTGATGTAGCCATATAAGGGACTATTCTAAATGCTCACTACGGTTTTCACATTCATCATTTAACTACTTGATGTTATGCATCCATCACAGTTTTATCACAAGTAAAACTATGCATGAAGACCATCAATAAATCAGAAGAGTTGTTTAGTGATGAAACCAGTTTCAACCGATTTATTCAAAACGCGAAGAAACATCCGCGAATGAAAGAACCGTTTGGTCATGCAAAAACAGGAAAAGGATCAGGAGTGTAATGAAAAAAATGACTTGGTTTAACTTGAAAAATACAGCGTAGATGTGCATGCATTCAAGAATCACGATTGGACAGAATAGACCGTCTTTTTGAGGGTGGGAGGGAGGAATGATATTATTGGTCCTTTTACACTTTCCTTGACCTGTAACTGTATTCGAGTTTTGTTTACTTAAACAGTGGATTACTTGAAAGTTTATTTACAAACTTCTTGCGTAACCAAGTGTGTTTCTGTGCTTCATCTACCATCGTACATTTCATTATATGAGAAGTTCATTAAAGATATTAATCAAAGGTGCTGTGAACATTTTCGGATCATACGATTTTGGCATTAATTATCCGTGCGGCTTGGGGTAAGCACACTTCGTTTGCTCAGTCAGGAGACACTTGAAGTAGATTAGGGCCAAAATGTTGTTGTCATTTGTCAATCAGATTTTTGTCTCCTTTTCCCGTAGTATCTAAGACGTGTAGGCAAGGTGATATAGTTTTACTCAGTATATACTTGACATTTTCGTCTTAATGGAAGCGCTGAAAAGAACTGAAGCTGAAATTGACATTCGGAAGCACTATACTCAATACCCATTTCATCCAGGTTCGTGCTTGCAATCGTGGCCCGTGCCCAGTGAATGGTGCTTGGGGCAATTGGACTCCGTGGTCTCACTGTTCCAAGAGTTGCGGCGGTGGACAACGACGTCGTATTAGACGTTGTGACAGTCCAGCTCCAGCCTACGGTGGTCAAGATTGCCCACCGACAGGTTATTTGGAAATTTCCGACTGTGAAAACGAGCCTTGTCCAAGTGAGTCTTTCTGACGGGCGTCCATTGTTTTTACCATGTTACCGCAATAAATCATTATTGTCTTTGAATTTTTGTCAAAGAGAAAAGTGATTTTCTTCATCTAGACTTGTTAATCGGAAAAAATTTTAATGTAACATAATAGGTGTGATGATGTGCCTTTGTTAGATAGTGTTTCCACGGCTCAGAGTTGCTATCTCAATTTGACCAGATTTGCCTCCGTTCAATTACGGGTGATTATGCCTTGTGCCGCAGCAAAGTGTAAAATTGGTCAAAAAGTTGTGCTAGGCGATCTCAACTCGATCAATCGATCGCTAGATCTACGCTGAATAATCAAACTCACCGTAAGCACCCCACCGTCTATCGACCCAATTCGAAGAAAGAGCAATCCATGTAATGCCTAGTGACCTATTGAAACGAGCGTTGACCGGTTATGCCCCCGTAGTTCAACACACGGCCAAGTTGGCTCGAGTGCAACCAATTTTAACAATATTTTAATTTTTTCCTGCCATAGTAAATAACGTTTACGTTCTTGCGGGGTTTTATTCACAAATCGACTTTCAGCGATTTTGTTTTACTTTTTGAGGTTGATGGTTTAACAAGCCGTTCTAACTTATAGAAAATACTGAACCAAATTGAAGATTTAGCTTGCACTGGGTACACAAACCCGTGGACTGCTTCCTAAAGTACAAGAAGCACATCAATCCGTTTAAGAACATTTTTGGGACCATTTAGATAAGGTCCAGGTCAGGTCAGGTCAGGTCAGGTCGGGTCACAGGACTTGCGGCTGAAGCCAATTTGGTCCAGGTTTATGCACCGTGAGCGTAACGTTCGCCTACGTATGCTTCGACAACAAAGAATCCTTTACGAACCGCTTTGTAGGCCCCTGGCTGCCGACTTGGGTAAGCTTTCCGGATCAGCTGCTACTTTCGCAGCTGGTATAGTGTAATGCAGATAAGTGGTACCTGTAGAAAAAGAAAGAAAATAGGGAGTGCCTGCAGTCTAGGTATACACCTAGCTGAGCGGCTAGTGGATAGGGTGATCATAACCCCTAGATAGTTAATCTGATACCGGAAATCTCATGGCCTGCCGTCCGAGGTGCCCACGTACTCTTCCAGTCAACTGTGACTCCGCTTCCCCCGTGATCATCTTTCAACCACACACGCGCTCACTTGAGAAACTCAGACATCTTTCTGTTCACCCACAAGCTTAACCCCCATGGCATCCAGATTACCGGGTCATGTGTTGGCGGTTGTTCGTTAGGAACCTATCTGGCTATTAAGCCCTCTGGGTCTATCAGCAGCACGGTAGCATCGCTGACCCTGTCAGGTTCCAAGCGCAGGACTCATTAGCTGCAGTTCACACAGGGCCCAGCCGAACTCGGTTTAGGAGGATGGTGTTGGTTGGGATGTTGCCCCTCTGTCCCCTCAATTTCCAGCGTAGCTGATGTCTTAATTTTGCTTATAAGACATTTTCATGTGACACTTTAACGAATATGGTGCATACATCCTTGTTAAAAATTTACCCTTTATTTTTGATACCATTTGCATTATTATTGTTGCAATTATTTTATCAATTTATCGTTTTTATCATTGCTGTTGCTATTATCATCATTGATATATTTAAGACATACGGTTTTATCATGATATCGAGGACAATTCAATGTATACTACTTATGAATAGATAATTTATGATTGTAGAATGTTGCCAGGGGCATAAACGGTCGATATCCGCTCGGAGGGAAAATCTGAGAGATTTGGCATATAGTTGAAGCCGAGGGACAACTCATTGAAAAGGCGCATAAATCCAGCGGCTCAGTTTACGACTTGTGTAGTGAATTTGATGTGAACATGAGCCCAGTTTATCGCATAATCAACGGAATTTCTCCAACAAGGCATAAACTGAGGAAAAAACCAATCACCTCGAAACAAGACGATGGTGGAATTCTATCGCAGCTGAGAATAGTTGCAAGTAACTAACATGGAGGACATTCCGAGCGGATTAGCCACAATTTTTTCTTGCCGCCATTTGGAAAATGATGGCACAATTTGAACCGCAGCTGAGGTCACCTGACATGAAGCCGTTATTGATCATCCAACAAGGGAGAGCACTATTGACTTCACCAACAAATTCAAGTCACGTCGCTTATCCATTTGCCGTTGGTGCTATCTTATAAGTGTTTAATGAGCATCACAGCAGGCTGAGAAAGATGGTCTGTTGGCCTAATTTTCCAAAGAATTTTTATTTCACTTGTAAAAGTAAGTAAATGTGTATCCCGTCTAACGAGTTGGAAGGAAGTAAATAGTGAGCACCTTGTTCTTAGTCTCCTGTACTCCACTCTGGATAGAGCGAGATTTATTGCACTGATGAGGGACGTTTTTAATAACTGTCACTCTCGAGGTGTATTCGCAATGTCATATTTTCCCAGACAAAGGCTAATATTTCACCTTGCTTGAGGTTGGTTGTAGAAAACGCTTATATATCGTTTAATACTGTCTTTTCACAGTTATACAGTTCCTGGATGGGTCCAGTACAGTGTCGAATTCATTCAGTAACTGCTCAACATTTGAGATTTGAATGTAATCTCAAAAGCTTCTCTGTGTTACAAACATGGATAAGTTAGCTACCTTGGCAGTGACCACGGTGCAGCGTGCATTACAGAAAACTGCAAATGCTGTTTAATAGTCAACGTGGTGGACTTAATGTAGTTATAAAACAAAGTTTAGTAGAGAAACTGAAAGTTGATTTTTTGAGGACCCCTGCTTGCTTAGAATCTTGTTTGGGAGCCCTAGGTCCGCCCTAAAAACTCACCTTCATCCTCAGTAAGTCCTGAATTACACAGTGGTGCTCCAGGCCTACACGATGGCGCCTACCCCGGAGCGGCGCGTTACAGTTTCAGGACATTGGCGATCGATCAAGTTTGAATGTTGACGTCAATAGCACGTGCATAGCTTCTGAATACACGTCATTGGCGGATGGTGCCAGCCAATCCAAGACAATGCAGACAGAAGCAAGATTATGAAAGCAGTGCTGCAATCCAATTGGTGGATGCCCAGGTAGCCAATAATCTTCTTTTGTACATATTATTTAATCACCTTTATTTCTTCCAATACACGAACTACTTACTGCCTGTCCTCTGGCCTTTTCCTCGCGTCTCGTTCTCGTGGATCATTGCTTCTGCGATCCAGTCCGTGATAGCCGATTATCGATTCGGGTCCTGTAATTCATATTGCGTGGTTGGTGTTCCGAATTCCGTGCGTATTACTACTACCACACTCATTACACCAGGCTGTTCAAATCCGCTTGAAGAGAACTTCGATCATTCGGATCCTTGATTGTACGCCAGATTTTGATGTCATCCGCATA